GGGGGGGGGGGGGGGGGGGGGGGGGGGGGGGGGGAATAAATCCATCGAAGGGAACAGAGGGGCGTTTGGGATGTGGCGATACACTTACCAAGAATTAGGTAGTTGCGCTCAACCAACCTCACGACTGCCCTAACCTTTGGCCACCGCAGAAAGGAATGTCCTACCTCAGGCAACTAATATTGCTGCGTGACAAAAACGCTCCTGCAAAGGTCACTGGAAGGATCGCTATTTATTGTACTCAAATTGTATAACACCAACTCTTCGACGATAGGAGGAGCACAAAAAGCTGTCATGAGCTCGTTCATGCTAAGCTTTTTCAAGGGAAGAAGGAGGGGGGCGACATAACACATACTATATACCCCTCACCACTTGACTCATCGCGGTGAGCGAGCGCGCGAGCGGCAACATAGGTCCGTCGGTAGGGTAGTGGCCTTGCGGTCGACTCGGATGTTGGCACTTCGTTGATTTCTCGTTTTCTCGCGTAGTGTGCTTTTCAAGACACGCACTGTACGACATTCCGGGAGTTGTCTTCCGGGGAGAAGAGGCGCACAAGACCTCTTGCCTCTTGTTTAGGCTAACCGTCTGAGTTTCTCGCCCTCCGAGTGACAGCCCAGCCCGTCTACCTTGCTACCAAAAATGGTCGTAGAGATATAGGCAGGCGTTGAGCAACTGCAAAGAACGAGAGTATTATTGCGCGGCATGGCTCTCATCTGTGGGGCCTCTCCCCCGTGTGCACTGCATTCACAATTCCCAGTGGCGTCTGTCATTGCCCAATCTTACCAATACCCCCTCATCCCGTCCCCGCGAACGAAAATGTCCGACCGTTGGTCGTGGGCAGCTACGAGCCGGGCGATTTTCTGAAGCACCGGTCGCCGCCGGGCGGACAGAATTTCGACAGCGGCGCCGCCAGCTGCAGAAGAGGCAGCGTTGGCGGCGCCATTAGTGCCAGGAAGGGCGTCACCCGGTCTGCTGAGGCCGCCGCCATGGCCGCCGAATCGCGCCGAAAAGCACACCAACATTTGTAGGACAAGGTTTAGGTTTTGGTAAAGGTTGAGGTTTCCACGCGAGACGAACGTTTGTGTGGTGGGGTTGAACTCGAAGAAAATAACATGTTGCTGTTTTTAATACAACCACAGCCCTTCGACAGGTTGTGGCCCGGAGGGCATGTGTGGGTCATGGCCGTTCCTCGGCTGCGTGTCTAGGATCCCACGAAGTTTTTGAATACACATCGAGGGCCCACACGCTCAGTGCTTAGGAACATGATTGCGAGGGGTTGTAGTAGGAAAGTGGGTGGGTGTGGCTTGCGCCAAGCCCGTAAGTCCAAGAAAACGAGCTATTTCGTTGGCGCGGCGCGGCATGCCTCGAAAAACTTGGCACAGTCGAACGTATGAATTCTGCCCGTTTGCTGTGCCCGACGTGGTTTCCAAAAGCACGTCTTACGAGTCTTGGAAGGGTTGTTCTGACCGGAAAGAAATGCATTCTTCGGCCATAGCACTCCTCCGTACTTTCGCCAGACTTTGTGTTTCATCTCGCCATGGATTTCTCTCATTAGAATACCCACAGAATCAAACATCAGCACAGAGAGAGAGCCACCCTCAGAGAAAAAAAAGGGGGGCCCGCTAAAACGAACGCACCAAAATCCTCTTTCGTAACCTTATATTCCCCACATAAACCATTCCCGACCTGTCCTTTTCACCGCTACAAATCACTCGATGCTTCCCTCTCCCACCGCCACCAAAAGCCCACGAGCTGCACTGCACAACACATCCACACATGAACAACACAGAAGAGCAGGACAGGGGAGACGGGGAGCTCTACTAGTGGACCCCGCGTGGCGCCTCACCCTACCTCAACATCGCATGGGTGTGAGTGAGCGTGCAAATCCGAGGAGACAGCACCAAAGGGCATGGCCGCACCCAACGTAAATAGACACACAGCAAGCCACTCTCTTTGTTAAAACATGCGCTCTCATGTGACCAGCACGCACGCGTCCTAGTTGACACGTGCGTCCGTATACGACCAACACATGCGCGCGTCCTTAGTTGACCCGTGGGTTCGAATGCGGCCAAAGCAACGCGTCCTCGTTGACACTTACTTTCGCGTGTAACCAACCAAAGCCAGGCTGTCCCAATCGCCCAAGACACTGAAAAACCTTTTCACCGGGCAGGCCAACGTACCTATCGTAAGGGGCGGAGAGATGGCACCCCCCCCCTAGACAGACCTTAATTCATAAGCAGCTGTCATCCGTACGCAAGGAAGTAAGCACAAGATGCCGAACACCCTTAGCAGGATGCAGCGCACCCTTCATGCGACTCGCCGAATATCTCACGGCGCTTCGCGCTTGGTGATGTGAGAGCCTGGTCCGGTGAGAACCCGGCGTGCTCCGTCCCGGCTTTGTAGGGATGCGAGGTCAATGGTCTAACGACTACGGCATGCACGACTATGAGTACACCCCCCCCCCCTAGACAGACCGATTTTCAAAGCTCGATTGCTCCGCAACCAAGATTGTGCCAACACCAAACATGATGGTTTAAAAAAAATACCGTCGAGGGACTTCCCGTAGAATCATGAGGCTGTCTTCCGCGCCCCCTTGGTTGCGGAGCAAATTGAGCTTGAAAGTCGCTCTAGGAGGGGTGCCATCTCTTTCGCCTCTTTCGGTAACTGACGGCAACAAAAACGCCTCCATGGCCTACAAGACACCGGCGAGGACGACGACGAATAAGGAATAATACAGACAATCAACAGCACAACAACCGACCCCAAGTTTACAGCAAACGCGCTTCCTACTGCTGCCCCCGCCAAAGTTACCCACTACCGTCTTGGCGTGAACAAAAATGACAACAACCATCGGTTCACTCTTCACACCTACGACCAAATGGACGTACGTTCCGAATACACAAATACCTGCCAAACTTACTTACAAACGGCGATCACGACAGGGTTTTAGAACGGGGTGTAGTCCTGAATTTCAGGGCCGCGGCGGACGTTTGCTCCCGAGCGGGGGTGTCTGCTGCCGCTCTCCTCCCGGTCGAAGTCCAGTCCCACCTCGGACGCTGTCATGCGGGAGCGAGTTTTGCGGGTGGAAGAAAGAAGGTCGCTGCGGTTAGGGCCTCTACACTTAGTATACGGGTTCGTCCTGTGGTCACAGCGCGCGCCGCGTGTGTACCCCGCACTAAATACTACTAGTGCTGCGGGGAGGACTACAAAACTACAACGCTTGGACCATTCGTACCCCAACCTTAGCAACTTCATACCCTAACATGACAACTTGTTCGACGGCATCTCCCCCCCCTCCCCATAGATTGGTCCTCCTCTTCCATGCAAGCGGCTTCTCTCTTGTGTACAGCATCCCCTTCGACTGTGGCTATCCTCTGTATCGCGAACGGTAGCCTCTCGATGATTGCATGTATATTTTCTTAAAACATGTACAGGAGGATTGTGTTAATTCCCATATGCCTCTCCTCTTCGTCAACTCATCCGAGCGACTCAGGCCTCAGAAAGCTCTCCTCGCATATCCTGCTGTCTCCACACACACACACGGCAAAACGCACGTGGGGGGGGGCAGAAACTCACGCGAGCGCGAGACGCCGAATCAGACAACCCACGCCTCAAACACCCTCTCACCGCTCTGACCCAGGTCGTAGTCCGAGGCGCCAGACGGCCACCCCGATCCCGCCCCCGCCCCCCTGAAAGCGTCCCCCGACACGCTAGACGCTCGGTTAGGTGCCCCTCCTATGGCTTCCCACCCCCCGGGTCGCCTGCTTGATCGTCGGGGGCCGAACCCGCGCAGACTCCCGCCTCCTTCTCCTCCTCCTCCTCCTCCTCCTCCTGCGGTTAACGGGGGTATGAATGGTATGAGATACACGCAGGGGTTGGAGCGCGGGCGTACCTTCTGAGATGCTGCTACAGCTCCTGCTGCTGTTGTGGCTGTTGTTGCTGTTGCACTGCTGCTTCGCGTGCGCTTGTATATCATTCTGTCTGCTGCCCAATATCCTTTTTTCTCCCGTGTCCCTGTGCGCCCAGCCTGGGAAAATAATCGGTAGGAGGAAAACTCCACGATAGAAGATACTTCGGGATGGCACACGACAAAGAGAGGGATCCAGAGCACAAGCGACCCGCGTCCAAACCAACACTCGCGAAAGCCAATGAGGCATGAAATGAATCGTTTTCGTCGGCCTGCTGTCACCACGCGCGCCGAAATGCGGTGGCAACCATATCAAACGAGGAGCGCCATCACAACAACACAGCGCCCCCACCCCATGGCCAATGATCTAACGACTAGGGCATTCGTTTACACGAGTGCACCTCGCACACACCCCTCGAAACCGCCTAGCGCAAAAATCGACTACCCTCCTCCGTCACCTCCCGGTGTTTGCCATCGGGGTTGGGTTTTCGTCGCTTGGCAACGACGTTGTAAAACAAGCCGCCGCCCCCCCGGTGTTTGCCATCGGGATTGGGTCTTCGTCGCTTGGCAAAGACGTTGTAAAACAAGCCAATTCACTTCGTGAACTCGGCAACCAGGTTACCGGTTTTTTTTTTTACCTCCGGTTTTTTTTTGGCGGTAACCATAATGGTGGTCGAGTAGATCATGTTGTGCGGGGTGGAGAAGCCTCACTCCGCGCAAGGGGGATGATCGCACCACGTTGTGTTAAAATGGTCAAGCACCCTCGAGGCAGTTACACAGTGCTTACAACTGTATCTGGAAGTGAAAGCACCAGAACAATAATTAATTCATAAGCAGCTGTCATCCGTACGCAAGGAAGTAAGCACAAGATGCCGAACACCCTTAGCAGGATGCAGCGCACCCTTCATGCGACTCGCCGAGTATCTCACGGCGCTTCGCGCTTGGTGATGTGAGAGCCTGGTCCGGTGAGAACNCCCCCCCCCCCCCTCCTCCGTCACCGCCGCCGACACAACTCAGTCGCGGCGGCGGATGTCGCCATGCCAGGCAGCAAGCGGTCTCACCTCCGTTCTGCCCGCCGCTAGCAGAGCCCGTAACGCTCCCTCCCCCGCCGAAGGTGTCAGCTCTTCCAAAGCCCCGCCCCGATGGAGGGAGCGATTCGTTCGAGTTCCGGGCAAGCGCCTGCCAACAACAACAAACAAAACAAATAAAGCAAGACGGCAGCGGTCGTGGTCCGCAGGGTGCGAGAAGAGTACAATACGATGAAGTGATTCGGTCCAGTTGCGGGCAAGCGCATGGCAACAGCAACAAACAAAACGAGGAACGGCTTGTGCCATCAAAGCATGGTCGGCAGGGTGCCAGAAGAGAAAAAACAACGAGCACGGGGTTAAAGTGCCGCCAACGGCATTCTCGTCGAACTCTCGTTGTTACCCATTCACGCCATAGTTCGTTACCCATCCCAACGCTACAAAACAAAGCACTACAAACGCTTGGAGAGAAGGTGTGACTCATGTACACTGTTCAATCGTCTTCTGTGTCGGAGTGGAAGAACGCGATACTTGTGCTTGGAAGCTTCCGGCGGAGTCGGAGAAAAACGAAACCACGCGTAGGGAGCTCGGTGTGTGCACGGAACAACCAGTTTCGGCCCATCAGCCATCTTGCACGTAAAATAGCGCTCTTCTGACCAAACGCGAGCTAGAGACCACACCTTACTCACAAAAGCCGACGCAAAAAAAAAAAAAAAGGACATTGCCGCAGACACGAAAGCTTGGTCGACGTCATGATTCACAACGTTCAAGACATACGTACAACACACGCGCGGAGAGACCCACCTGGGCCGTGAGCGCCACGTGTGCCGCCCCCCCTCCCCCTCCCTCATCGGGGAAAACCGCTGCATACCCCTCATCTCCCCCTGCGCCCCCCCCTCTGCCCCCCGCCCCTGTCCCGCCCCTGCCGTCCTGCATCGTCAGCGGCGGGGGTCTCTGCTCAAGCCCCCCCCTCACGGAGCCCCCGCCGAACCTCCTCCGCTCAGACCTGGTAGTCCGGCTGTTCGAAGAAGATGCCACGCTCGGCGCTCTCCGCACGGCAGCGGTTCCCCTGCCCCCGGGGTACTGGATGTTGCCATTGCTCCCATACCTCCCGCCGCCCTCCCCCCAGCCGCCGCCGCCGCCGCCGCCGCCCCCCACCCCGCTCACGCTGCTACCTACGTCCGACATGCCGTCCGATTGGGCGAAGCTGGCTAAGGAGCTCGAGCCATCGCCGTCGCCGTCGCTGTTGGGGGGGCACGCGCGCAAAAACGACGATCGGAAAGAGACGGGG